TAACAATTCATACACGGTCGTCCGCGCTGTGAAACATCACATCTCACTTTACGACTCCTACATGATAAACAAGCTTTAGGTGCTCGCTTTCGCATCTTCGTCGCCGCCTTCGGTTTGGGCTCAACTGTCTCGACGGTCGTGGAAGACATGGTGACAGGTGCATATTCCATGATTACCGCCGGCAACCCTCTACGCAACGTTGGGAAGTGGGTTGAGAAGGAGAGGGATAATAATTAGCCCCTAGGAATTGGAGAAGTTCGTGGGGTTGTGGGGTATACTCCATAGTCCCCGACTAGGTAACTAGACACTGACAGGTAAAGGTAGTAAAGAAACATGGGGATCTAGTTATCCTTGGCGATCTCTATTGTTGGGAGCCCCGGCCTCTGTCCATGTTGGGTTTAGACGGCGGCTTTGTTAATTAATAATACATAAGACGCCTAGCTAGGGTGATGCAGGGTCTCGCCCGAGTTGCGGCCGCAGTCGATACCACCCATATGTGATCTTCGTAGCTGCTCAGATCGAAGCGGCCATGTGGTCTCCTCTGCGGAGTTCCCGGAGCCAAAACGGACCAATAGTAGCATTTTGCGGTGTAGTCAAAGAGAATAAGCTATCAATGGTCACGTCTTATAAGTCTCGTGAAAGGAAGTATGTATTAGTCCCCTTTTACGGGGTAGAAAGTAATAAGCGTTCTCCGATACGTCAACCAAGGGAATTCCCGGAATAGGCGAGCTGACAAGGCAGGCTACCTATTCCATTGATTGATTGAAGCGTCGATTGTCCCAAGTTAGATGTACTTGTATTAGGTCAGGTCTATCTCATATATCTTGCAGAGGGTAGGGGTGGTTGCGAAGACGTACATGACTTGTACTATTTTACCGCGGCAAAAAAAAACCAGGATTCGGCAAAAAGCTCGGTAATAAGTCCTTATCATTCAACATGCCTGTCTATCTCTTACCTATCCACCATGCCTCTTTGATCTACATAGTAGCAAACACCATATATGTAAACTAGAGCAATTAATGAGTGCATCAACTATCCCACATTCGTGTTAATAACGAATATATCATGGAGAAAGCGATCATTGTTACAAAGCGAATTATCGACGAGACAAGTTCTTCGAGAGTAGTATCGAATCTTTCATATGCAAGGTACCAGGGGCTAGGCAGCTCAGATCATTCCATCTATCATCATTAACTCACTATCAAATCCACCAACTTCTTTTTCATTCGCGTAAATTTATCGGTTGCGTACCTGATTGTTCCACTTAATTGAGCTGCTACAGCGTTCTGGGACAGCTTTGTTCGAGCATGCGTTTGTACCCAACGACCAAAAGCCAATCTAATCCTACCCCTCACAGAAGTATTTAGATAGAAGTCAAGCAGTGGTTTAAAAAGTAGTTTAACTACTAGCTATACTATCGCTACTATTCTTATATTTAATAAAGTGATTCAGTAAGGCTGGTGTATAATTAGGTGTTCATCTGGATTCCACCTGCGGGTGCTGTACCCTCCACCGTGCCCCTATCTTCACAGATAGGTTTTTTTATGGACTTCCCTCTGGAGGGGTTTCAACCACCGTCCATTCATCAGCCGAGTCGCCATCATGGTTACCGGTCTGATTTGACGGTCGGCGTACTCCTCTTGGATTATTCGTATCTCCATTTCGTATGACAGTAGGAGCGTTTGGCCTCTCATCGTAGGCCCCATGGAAATCCCCAGTCTGCAGTAAGTTAACTCCGTAGTGTTGTTCATTGGTATACACATAAGCTGCGGGGTTCTGAAGACTGTTAATATCGAACCCTAGCTCATTGCCCAGATGGTGAGGCACGTTGTATTCGTAGCCGATATTATTCAAGTACTCAAGGAAGAAACTTGCTGGGTTGTCCAAACTAGGCTCGGCTCTTGACGTTACCTCTGGCTGCTCTTGGGGAGCTGGGTTAGAGTTCTCTAGCATGCTGCCTGCCATACGCTGCCTGAATGAGTTTATTACTGCGCTATTTATATCGTTAACCACGAGTAAGATCTCATCTTCAATAGACGAACTCGGTCTAGACGACAGACCCTCCAGAACGGATCTTACACGTCCCGGGAGCTGTCGTTCGACTTCTTGCTGGTAGGCGCGATCAAATTGATCAAGTATATCAGTGATTGTGATAACACTTGCGTAGTCTAAGATGGTTAAAGTAGAGTCATTAGAAGAGGGTAATATAAGCAACTTACACTGTGACGGTATGGACCTTTCATCATCGTCTGGGAATAAGATCTGGTAAATCTTCCTCCAATCCTGTACGCGTCTACACTTAAGGCTTTCCCGTTGACGCTCGTTGAAGCCTTCAATTGGATCAGGGGGGGCCGATGATACCGTGCATGGGGTTAAATCTTCATAATGACTATCCAGCCCAGTGGCCGTGTCGAATCTTGACTTGCATCTCCGACAACGATGTACAAAATGAACTCGGTACAGATGTTCCCTATTGAGGTTAGAAGTATTCCAGAGTACTAGAATCAAGAAACTTACTTCAGTCTAGCGATTGAAGCCCAACCCGGTCCATTACATGAGCGATTGATTGAAAGCCTATGAGGATCTCTTTGGTGGAATGGGCATGCCAGAAGTTTCTTGATATCATCCACGTCATTTCCCTTGTTCTTCTTCCTTGGGTGTTCCTGATTGCCCTCATCATCACTATGCTCGTCCCGATCCCTTTGTCTTCTCTGATTCTTGTGACGCAGACCCGAAGGGGAAATATCCTGGTGACTAACATGTTTGTTTGAACGAGATGTAACTGGTTGATATCTACCATTTCCGCCATCTCCAGTACATTGGCTCAACACAGGCCCTAACTGGATAGTAACTCTTGAGAGGAGCCAATTCCTTTTGCGCATAGAGAATGAACGGGCGAGTGAACGGGCAAGTGAAAGATAACTCAATTCAACTGGCTCGGGAGATGAAGATGAAATTGTTGAATCGGCTTCATCGTCGTTCTCGGAGAAACTCACTTCTTCTTCCTTGATTGAGTGAATTACTCTGCTTTGAACCGTGTTTGGCAATGGTTTATTTGTAGGTGCTTCTCTTATGCCTTTACCGCAACGTAAACACTGCGCGGTCCGTATGGGTTTTGGTTTGACGAGGTGGCTCATAAGTGTACTATCCTTGCTTCTGATTGGTAGCGAGTGTAGCTGATGAAAAGTGTTGCTGAGTCTCACATCTAAAAACGTGAATGGGACATCCTCGGACTCGATTGCCCATTTTTCGAACGACCACGTCTTCATAGAAAAAGCGCTGATACTATCCTTATATATCAATGCCATGGGCCTATAGTAATCAATCCCGAGGTCGACCCCCAATGCTGCCATTACTCCTGCCAAAGCGTAGATTTTATCTCGGGCGTCAGAGGTCTTGAGTTCAGAAGAGAATGACAATATCCGAGATATCTCTAATGACAGACTTTGCGTATAAGTTTTGTTGAGATTTCGGGTAAAATTCGCGCTGTTTCTAGCAAGAAGCAAGCGGAGCATAGGACTAGTTGTCGTGAGAGAGTGAAAGTGAATTGCCTTTGGTAGCCAGTGATTGACCCCTTCGCGCTTCACCACAGCAGCTTGTTGAAGTAAAGTACCAACGGATTCCCATTCTATTATATCCGTACCCGAGAATACGATTTTGCGGTGAGAAAGTAGCGCTTCCTGGAACGTCCACAATCTCGTCCAGTACTGCGATTTGAAGAGTTTGAGTACTGTAGACTCTCGTAAGTTATTAGCCCCTAAGATATCCCTGTCAGCCTTCCAGCCGCCTGAAGCGCGAGAATCCCGACGAAGTAAACGCCGCCTCAATCCAGCTTTCGATCCCAAATGATTAGACACGTACAGATCTTCCTGAGAGTAGGAGTCCCCGATGAAGCATAGAACCGTCTCAGCAGAACGGTAAATATCGCCCATCAGCCTAACCTGAGCACTCTTTTCGCGCTTGTCTGATTGATTAATGCAGATTGCATCAACCCAGAAGTATGGTGTGAAGGCTGGACCTGGACTGGGGTCACGCAACGAGTCTCGAAGGGAACGCAAAGCCTGGAAACAACCCCTATTAACAGGCAGTATACCACCGTCACATTCGACGTGAATGTCGAAACTTGGGTCACCCCAGACGTAGGAGAGCGCAGTGTATTGCGGAATCTGACCATCTTCCGTCAGAGAATGAACCTGAAGTTGACATCGAATAGGATCAGCTGGATCGTTGCCAGGCAATAGACTCAGCAGTCTAAAACTACGATCATCCTGAAGATGCTTATATTGGTATCGTGCCATTGAAAAAAGATGAGGCTGGATGAAACTGACCTAGTTAATAGAACCAATTCAGAGATGGTCGTGAGAGGGATCGAGCCCATTCAAAAAGTCCAAGCCCACACCTAAACTATTCGGCAATTTAAACCTGGGGTAGGCTCATAAGATAAATAACAACCAATACATTCTGCGCAAGCACTGAATTCGCAAATGCGAATTCACCTGCAGCGCATCCGCCGTTCCAAGCATGGTTGGCCCCCACGGCAGGTTCGCTTAGTTAGTAGGCAGACTCGCAAGGTTGACAGCCAGCAAGGCTCTGTGATCAGCTCATAGATCAACATATAATAGTTCCTACTATGAAATAGGATGCTTTTCCGAATGAGACTTATAATCCTATCAAAGATACTAGGTTAGGTTAGAGTTTATCATATTCAACCAGGTCGGCGTGTCCTAGTAGAGAACATTCGAGATAATGACGGAATTTGCTTGCGTAGCTCGGCAACATAACGACGATAGGATTATGCCTTTTCGGACGTACTTGTAAAAGAGACATTAACTTTTAGGGCTTATGGCGCTTAACAACCTGCCTTGCTAGTTGACCACTCTCCTCTTTGGTTGCCTCACCTAGGTAGATCACTTTGCCTCCTTGCAATGGGGACTTTGTTGATGACGGACATGTGTCTGCGGGCTGAGTGTCCAATCACCGCCACATTTATCAACGAACACCCCGGCACGATCGAGCGCCACCATCACGTTAGTATATAGGTACTATATAATGCACATACCCGTTATCAAATCTCAGGTACCTATGTAGCTTATTGTCTCAGCTGGGATCGTCCTAGTAAACACCAACGAACGAGGCTCACTCAAGGGTGTGAACACACTACAATTCATGATCGAAATTACCTATGTCAATACAGTTCCCTGGCAGCCCTTACTCCGAGTACAATTTTATTCGCTTAAACCTGTTAACTTCAAGCTGACAGCCCAAAGTTTCTCCTCGGCAGCGGGATCGAAAGCCCGCGCATTGTAGCCACCCGCGTAGTAAGGCGCTTCTGGCGGAGTCTCCTCAGCTTCAGCAACTTCATCGAGGTAAATCCCCCCTTTACCCTCCAATTCCTTCGCTATAGCAGCCCAGACAGTGGTCGCCGCTCCTTGGGCAGGATTCTTCAGCATCTTTGACAGGTCTGGATCATCGAGAATGTCCTGAGTGGTAGACAGATATCTCGTAAGAGGCGTGAGAATACCTCCCGGGTGTAGACTTAAAGCTCGCAGATTTTGGGACTTGTACCTCCGGTCTAATTCGTTCGCGAAGTAGATATTGGCAAGCTTGGATTGACCGTAAGCCTTAAGCGGAGTATACTCAATCTTTTCGAAGTTCAGGTCGTCAAAGTGGATTTCGCCGTAGCGGTGGGCGGCGGAGGATACCGATATGACGCGGGAGTTGAATGAAGGGCTTGCAGAGGCCAGGAGAGCGTCCTTAACTAGGTGGAAGAGATAGAAGTGACCTAAATTAAGGTAAATAACTTACAATATGCGTAATGGTTATACGCAGTACTTACCAAGGTGGTTTGTGCCAAACTGCAACTCGAATCCATCTTTAGTCTTGCCCTGGGGACATGCCATGATTCCTAAAGAGAGTAAGCTGAATTCAGGAAATCCGACAATCACCCCCCGACCCGTGAATACCTACCAGCATTGTTAATCAGAACATTGAGTTTATTGTCGCTCTTACGAAGAAATTCTTCTGCTCCGGCTCGAATACTTTTCAATGAAGCCAAGTCCATTTCAATGACGCCAACCTTTCCAGGCTTGCCATCGGCCAAAATCTCTTCAGCAATTTGCTTGCCCTTGGTCACATCTCGAACAGTTATGTAGACGTCAGCTCCCGTTAGGTGAATAGCCTTTGCCGTCTCGGGTCCAAGTCCACCAGGCGAGCAGCCTGTGACGAGAACAACTCTACCAATCCACGAGGGGCTCGAGACAAGACCCTGATCTTCTACAATCTGAATAGCTGTCGGGCGGGCATCTCCTGGACCCTGATAATCCTTATGCTGTTCAAGGTAGGGGGCGAGACGTGGCATTTTATCGCAATAGTGAGACTAGAAAGCTTGAAAAGTATCTAAGTGATGTTGTCGATAGCTTCTTTTATGCTCGCCAAGGTGGCTAGATTACAAATCCGGGGACGGCGTTCGGAGCGGACACTTTTTGGAGCCCTAACTATCCGACATTACAAATGCAACATATGTTCGTAGAATCTACTTTATTTAGTAAATATATCACATATCCCCCTATCCTCTTTTTATAGTCAATTATTGTCGTTTAGACACTAACTAATATTTAGCACCACCTCGAAAAACTAGAAGAAAAAAGCCATTACCACGCTCTTGAACTGATATTATAATCTTGCAGATAATCGCCAATTCGGAATATACTTCCTATTTCCCCAAGGGTCATGTCATCGAGTTTGAAGGTCAATAGAACGACATCTACTGCAAAAAGAAAGTCGCTCCCACACGCAATTCTACGATGCGCGAGGAACCAATAATCGCCAAAACGTCAAAACACTGAACGGTGAATTGAAAATGAAAGGTATCTAGATTACAGGGGCTTGGTATGTGATTTGCGACGGCTTTAGAAAGCTCAGTTATTCAGCAATGGGGAAACCCACATGTAATTTACTTGACTATAGCTAGGGGATACTCACATGAACCCTTTAAACAACTAGACAACGAGAAAGTTAGAAGAACCTTATATAAGGGCTCCAAGCTCTCTACATCGTATTCAGCCTAAGACCTCCTTTTGACTCTAGTGACTGAGGTCTCGTTTATTTGGAGAGTGGTGAAATTGGGGTATAATTAGGGATAGCTTTACCTTCAGCACAGCACAGTGCTATAGGTCTCCGGCCCGAAAACGGGCTGTAGATTGACGCCGACGCCGCTAGATGTTTATTATGGGTCTCGGAACTACGCCCGTGACCGAAGACGCCGAAGATTGAGTTTAAAAAACCCCGATTTGCTAAGTTAATTTGCAATGCAAGACTAAGCTGATATTTCTTAGCTAATTTCAATAACATCCGGGTTCTGAAGAAAACTTCCCCAACGAGTCCGAACAAGTGGTGTTGTTGCCAAGAATCCGGGGCGTAAGTACGGATATAAATATCTGACTGCCGTTTCCGAATTACATCTGACGTCAACGACATCATTCTCAATCATTCACTCCATTTTTTCTCATTAATTCAATTTAGAATACCTCTGAAATCGAGTCTCTAAAGATAAATAAAAAAAATGGTCACCTTCAACCTCGCCTATACGGCCCCTATCAACCCCTCCGGCGCCTCGCCCGCCCTCACGATTTCCCAGATCTGGGCGGGTCTGGAGCGTAAAGTCCGGCGCGCACAGGACTTTGTGCCTATTATCGAGGAGTGCAATGTGTTATCCGAAGAGACATCGCAGGAGACGGGAAACCTGACTGTCGTACGCGAGGTCCGGTTCGCGGCGGGCCAGGAACCGGATAGCGGCAGCGGAGGCAGACTGGTCAAAGAGATATGCACGCACTACCCTCCATGCCGTGTCGACTTCGAGCAACCGGACGGAAGCAATATCTCGAATATTGTTAGCGAAGGACCCGATGGAGAGTTGCTTATGACGTATGCGTTTGAGTGGAGATACCCAGGTGTCAAACAGGGGAGCGAGGAGGCGAAGAAGTTAGAAGAGAGAAGCTGGAAGGTGAGTTTCCCTTATATGACCGTGCTATAGTCTATTTCTAATATATTTCCGGCTTGTAGACGGCGAAGATGGCTGTCCATGGTACTATCGACACTGTACGTCGACTAGTCAATAACGGCGAAATACAGTAATGGGTGACCCTCATTTGAGGTGTTTAGGCGGTTCGCAGGTCACCCGAGTCTACCTCTCTCATACAACACTAACGGAGAATTAAAAATAGTTAAAAACTATTTACCTATTCGCTATGAATTTCTCATGTCTTAGGTGCCTAAATTGATATACCACGGGAGGTGATGTAGATTCGGGATTTAATTTTTGTATTTAAATCCTTACTTTACGGGACTATTTCTTATTAATCCTCCATCTCCGAAAGTATATTCGCTATAGTATAATGGGGAGTCTAATGTGAATCCGGAGAGTAATGAGCTAGCCGTGTCCCTCCTTCTAGGTACCATCTTTTACGCTTTTGGCCGGGGCCGAAGAACTCGCGGAGCGGCAGCATCGTGTCCACTGTACCTGGGAACCCGAACCGGGCTGGATCTTGGTGCCATTGTATCGTGGAATCATGCATGCATGGAATCAATGGGAAAGTATCTTTGTCCCAAGACCAAATACGCCCGTGATTTATGACCGATTCACATCGATCCTTATCTCCTATGAGAAAGAACCAGTGACGTGACCCAAGTAAGTGCTTTACAGCAAGCCATTCGAAATCCAGAGGGCTGTAGTAGTAATACTCCTCCAAGCTCCCCTCCACATCTTTTCCCGATGGTATCCCCCCCCTGATGAAGGCGCTTGGGTCGTCGACGAATGGTTCCCAAGAAGGGGGATCTCCACCAGTCAAAAGTTCGAACCGTTTCATGGTCAAGAAGGTATTGAAACATTTTTTGTAACACCACAGATTATGGACGGACCTCATGACAAGTCCGACTTCAGGCGACACTACATGCAAGTCGCTTGCTTTAGGCCAGTTAGTGATAATTAAACGAGAAGATAGGATCGAGAGAAACATACTAACTGCGTTAAAATGGTATAACCTCTCCAATAGCTGGTACACCAAAAAGATCTCAGCAGGGGAAAATGAGCCCCAAAGCGCCTTGAATAGCGCATCGAATTTTGGTTTCATTCTTTTTGGCACATATGTTTTCTCGAGGAATGTGGAAATAAAATCAAGCATGTATAACAGTCGCCGCTGGCGCGACATCTCGGTAGAGGTGAAACCTCCGCCCTCCAACTCGAGCGGTAAGGGTGCCATTTCCGTAATAACCCAGTCCAAGACTGACTCGATACCCTTGCTCAGTTTAGGTAGCCAGGTAAGGGCAGACAATCGGTAAAATTGAATCGGCCAGTCCCCCCGTTCGACGTATTTTTCAAGGAATTCGATACCGCCATCGAAAGGATACCCCAAATCGCCATAACCGAAAAGGAATTCGCGGGCTTTGCATGCTATAAAAGCTAGTCTCGTAACGCCAGGGTCGTCATCGTTGGTATGACCCGCCACGAAGTGACGAGTAATCACGCCCTCGTGCGCCAGAAGGATTTCTCGAAATTTCTTGGACGCCCGACCAAGGTTTTGAATGGATTTTACATTGGGTAGATAAGAGAATATTGAGATGACCAACTCGGTAGGTAGCCTGTATAAGGCGGGACGTTCTTTTTCCAAAGCCATCGTGGTAAAAGTCAGTTGATGGAGAGATGGAGCGATTGTGGTTGTTAGATAAATCTGATGTGTTCGTGTTGTTGGGATTGAAAATGACAAGAAAAAAGGGGGATGTTAAAGGCTGACAGTGGCTTCATTTATGTATTAAATTTTGCCCCGTATATCAATAAGTCCCCGTACCTTCTTATCAAGGTACGCATGACGAATGGTTTTTTTTACAGATAGCCTGCTACTTCGTTGACAGCCCGACTTCAAGCTGAAGTATCGACTGTCAAACAGCTTTCTCCAATAGTCACCGTTGGTCACTCACCTACTTTACCCTAGATAGGTACCTAAGGTATACCTAAGGTACTTCCTACCCTCTTTTATCACGGGAAACGACCGCTGTGGATACTGAGTCACGGAATTTTCACTATCCTGACGAAGATTTCAAAGCCTTCGTCGGATATTTGGTTTACGAGCAAAGTCGGCTAGATTTTGGCGAGTGAACGTTCTTAGCCATGGCCTCAACGAATATTTCCCATGGATATAGCCCTACTACATGGGCTCAACGTATTAGTTAACTGACTGAGTATCTATATAAGCTATCTCTTAAGATACTTTGAGTGCTACGTAAGGAAGGTAGGTACCTACCTAGGTACGTACAACATCTCGAACTTACAATGTTAGAGCACACACTATTATGTACAATGGGATCTTGGTACCTTAATATGACTAATTAAGCGTATCCCGTATGTGATATGATTATTTATTTGGTAGGCTAACCGTTGCCGGTATAAGTGGGTTTGATTAAAAGATAGGTTAGGTACCTAACCTAGTATATATGTCTTGGATTGGACTTAATATAGCCTATTTCTTCTAGATTCACGAATGATATCTGTAAAGTATTGCAAGATGAATTTTGACGACTCTTATCAAATAAAACTAAAACATAGCCTAGAGTTTATAACGCGAAAATTGTATGGAAACATCTTCTGCTTTCGTCCTATGAGTCCACGTACTTAAACGTATAACTAACAATAATATTAACTCAGTGACTGATATTACATAGAAGAATTGTGAGAAATATACAGCTTTTCTTGATAGTATATCTCATATTAGAAGAAGTTAATGATATTTCAGACTTTGAGGAATATACATAATTCGGATATCCTGATGTGGAACTAGAAAAGAGAGAACTTCGTTGTTCTACAAGGAGCTCTAACCCTAAAAGTATCCTTTATTATCCTAACTTCGGAGACCTCTAGGTTAAAAAGTAAGGGTTATATTATTATGGGTGTCTGAACAAGCTATGAGATACTCTCAATTACTTAGATAATTCACTTTACTATTTCTGCATCACTGCAACGTAGAACTATGTATAAGGAAGAAACTGAAACATACTGTATATTATAACTAGTGAAGGTTACAAGATAAAAGAGTAGTTAAAATTATATTTACGAAGTAACTGAAGAAACATGATTCAAACCTACCTCGACGGCTTCTCGAAAAGATGCTCGTACATCAAGTCCAGCCGAACGGTGAACTTTTCCCCGTGCTTGACCTCTTGTCCAGAATGCCATAGCATCCGCTGTTGGAAGACTGATGCCCTGCCCATCTTCGGCTTGACATCGAGAAACGACTCTTCCTTCGCCTGTTGTTCAGTTTCATCCTTTTGATCTTCAGGTTTCTTCTTCTTCCCCATGCCTACACGACTCGGCCAAAATCTTGTTTCCCCTCCCGAGCCATCCCCATCTATATCCTCTTCAGGCATGTCACTCAAGTATATCTGACAGGTCAAGAAGCTCTTTTCCCCACCTCCAGGTGAATATAAGGCATCGCAATGCGGCTTGAAGTGGTTACCAGGCCGGTACCGCAGGAAGCTGAGTCTCTCGTCGGCTCCTCTCAGCTTCCAGACTGTCTTACTAGCTCCTTGGCTCGCCTTTGGGTTTTGCAGACCGGCAATGTGCCCAGATAGCACATCACCCTTCCTTAGGGACTTGGATTCCTCAGGTAGGTACGGCGCAAGCCTCTGGGACAGAGCATTGGCCCACTCGGGAGAGACAGATAGAATCTGTTCGCACTCACGCCACGACTCGCCCTTGTTTAAGGTCTTCCAGTCGGAACCTGCTGATGCGAGGACTGCGGCACATTCATCTGGCGTGAGAAGATTATCTATGACCATGGCGAAGTAAGGACTATAGTGGTCTGCAAGGGGGGATTGAGAAAAGTCAATGCGTGTTGCTGTTACTGGAGGGCCATCGGTTTGAAGCCTAAGGAGAGGCTCCCCGCCTTGGGATGCCTGAGACGCCATAGTGAATGATGTAAATAGGTCTTCATAATTGTTTGATATGATGGAGACTTCATGATGGTGATTAATAATGATGATAAGGTATAAGGTATTTAGTTAATCATGGTTACAAGACGTTGAGAGTTTGAGTTGGCAATATTATGTTGGGTCACTCGAGTAGGTGAGAATGATTATATACAAGTTAGTACAGGCATATGGACATGGATATGGGATGAGAAGAATGAGTCACGACAATGGTGATCGTAAGTTGAGGCAGAGTTGATGCCTAGCAGAAAGGCGCAGAATAGCGTCAAAATAACTGGCGCAGTCTATTAACAATTACCTATGCTAGTAGGTGCGCCACCTTTTTTACGGAGAGCAGCCCGTCATTGTGGCGGTGCTTGTTTATAACCACACCCCTGTTTTCACGCTTAGTTTTGTTACCAGTCAGCCGGGCAGTACATGGCTAAGTACCTAGGTATCTTATGTAACCTACCACAATTGTATTGTTCGAAATATGCATATTATGCTGAAACCGGAGTACCTAGTGATTTTCAAGAGAAGGTCCCCAAAGCCCCACCACTGCGACGCCAATAACTTCTGCTTCATCACAAACGCTTGTGCAAAAAAAAAGGCTTTCCTTTGAGACCAAACGCCGACCCAAAGAATTTCCGACTTTTGCCTGGCGCAAAGTCATAATTAAATTCCTTACCGAAGACGAACCCTTGTGATAGTTAGTCTATTCTGATTATCTACAATCCTTTGTCATTCTATCGTCGTCAATCATTCTTTCTGCGACTAGCGATCGGCTGCGACTGCCCCTCCACTATCCGTTTCGCCTATTCCGTAATATCCTCACCACTCACGCTCACCTTCCCAACTACTATCCCACGAAAAGGGAAATTGCGCAATACCTAGGGTCGCCTGACTTAAGGTTCGCTGTTATTCTTTCCTCGGGGGGCCGAGCTTCTACTCTCCTACCTGGAATATTAAAACATAAATTCCAAATCGCAAATCGGTCAACCGTACACATCCCAAATCCGAAACTTGACCCTCTTTCTACGCCGAATCTATTCCCTTAGTACTATTCTCGCCATTCAAGATGTCGGAACAGGTCGATCTCACCACCATCCCTATCTCCCCTGAAGGCGAGAGCCCAAAGGCAGAAGAGTCTGATAGCGGCAAGTTGGTCACTGTCTTCCATGACAAGGACAACTTCAACGTCAAGCACCCTCTTCAGAACAAATGGACATTGTGGTTTACTAAACCCTCGAGCGGCAAGGTTAGTCTGCTTTATTCTATACCCATCCTAAACCGAGTATTAATTTCAAGTAGGGAGATAACTGGAATGACCTGCTCAAGGAGGTCATCACATTCAATTCGGTCGAGGAGTTCTGGGGTATTTACGTAAGTTGTCCTTGTAGTGGCCTAATCTAATCCATGCCTGACTGTGCCGTAGAACAATATCGCGCCGGTTTCCGAACTGGCCTTGAAATCCGACTACCACTTATTCAAGGAGGGCGTGCGACCGGAGTGGGAAGACCCTCAGAACAAGCACGGCGGCAAATGGTCGTATCAGTTTAAGGACAAGCGTAACGTCGACATTAATGACCTATGGCTGCACACGATGCTGGCCGCAATCGGAGAGACCCTCGAGGAAGAGGACGATGGCGAGGTCATGGGTGTTGTCGTCAACGTTCGTAAGGCTTTCTACCGTATTGGTGTTTGGACTCGAACTATCGGCAAGAGCATTCCGGGCCGTGGCGACGGTGATGTATCTGGCGGTAAGGGTCGATCTGTCGAAAAGGGCCAGAAAATTCTGCAGGCCATTGGCAAGCAGTTCAAGGAGATTCTGAAGCTACCCCCTAACGAGGTTGTCGAATTTTCCGGTCACACCGATTCGGCTCATAGCGGCAGTACCCGAGCGAAGGCTAAATTCACAGTCTAATGGAAATGGCCTACAATTTTGATATTGGGAATCGATAGCGCCTTGACAGAATGATATTGGAGGGAGGGGGTCAAGTACGTTCGCCGGTCGTCTGTTACTGGCTACTGGTACGGGGTGAGCTATGATTAGTGAATTAAAGGAGGTCCAGACCACCGACAGCGGCAGTCTATTGTTCATCGATACCATGTAGCATGCTCTTCGGCTAACTAGTACTAGGTAGTAAGCGATGAAGGAATTGAGTAGGGGTTGCTCATTACCCGTCATGTTTTTCCATCCACGTAGCGCTATTGGCATTCTCTTTCCCGCAGATAGAATGCAATATCACACGAATGAATTAAGAACGGCGACTGTTGTAATAGTGAAGCATATGATTTGACGTTAAACTGCCTACCCGTCTGCCCGACATTCACAACTAATTTAGTAACATACATTGTTGAATGGTAACCGAAGAATAGTCAATATTGGTAGGTTTCTGCCATAGGGTGGCGAGCGAGCCGCATTGATTCTAACTCTAGTGATAGAGAGACCGGCCGTCTCGAAAACGACTAAGGGAAAAAGGAAAGAATTCCCTATATACAACAAATAGGTCGTCGGAGAGGACACAACATATAGACATGAAATTCCCGCATGACTCGAAAAACCCAATACCCGTCCAATCACATGTGCAGCAGCACGCAGTTGCGTTTCATTTCGTTCTTCGCTTCGTCCATTCCAGTTTCTCATTCAGCTGCTTCGTTGGTCGGTTCATCTCCCTTTGCATGTTGAATCGGGCTTCATATCGACCTTTTGACATTGGGATCGCGTGGGCCCACCCTCTTGCTTTCTTTTGTTTTGATCTTCCTGGGATATTGACACTACGCAACTCCTAAGGTAGAACATGCACACAACGTGCATCATGATATTAGATCCAAAATCTAAGGTGAATCCTGTTCCCCTCTCTCGTCCATCTTATCCCAACGTATCCCCACGTCCTTACAACTCATCCCCGCTAAAGTCATCTAAAAATACCTCCCGCAGCAAATTCTTCTTGTTAATCTTGCCCATCGCGTTTCGCGGGATATGCTCGACCACCCTAAGTACTTGCGGGATCTTATAATTCGCTAGTCGTCCCTTTAGCGCGCGCCGCATTTCAAGAGGTCGCCAGGCGGGTCGTTCCTGTAGGTGCTCAGGGGAGTGAATGATGACGGCGCCGACTTTCTGTCCCCACTTTCCTGAAGGCACTGCAACTACTGCTGCTTCGGCAATTTCGGGTAGGGAGAGCAACTCACGCTCGACTTCGAGCGCGGATACTTTCTCGCCGCCAGACTTGATGATGTCGGCACTTTGACGGCCGAGAATGAAGTACATAGGCCCTCGGGCCCATTCACCGCTCGTGCCGTGACCGGCCTCGGGCACAGGGCGCCGAACCGCTACATCCCCGGTCTTGAACCATGGGCCCTTACCGTCATCCGAGGGGATGAATTCTTTGGATGTGGCAGCCGGGTTGGCCCAGTATTCTCGGAACACGTTGGCGCCGCGGAGCTGGATTTCGCCCGATTGCTCCTTTTCAGGGACGGGCTCGGTAGGGTCGAGGTCCTCGATGATGGCGCCTGTCTCATTGTCCACGAGTCGAGCTTCTACGCCGGGGAGAGGCCACCCGACGCTGCCGTCGACACGGTCGCGATAGTCGAGACCGCAGGACAACGCCATGCCTACCTCTGTCATACCGTACCGCTCGAGCAGCACGTTGCCGCGGCTGAGATCTTTCCAGGCACGCTTGACAGGCGTCGGAAGGGCTGCCGATCCGGATATCGATACGCGCATGTGTTCGGGGCTGATAGCGATACGACCGGCCTCGGCGATGGCCGGAGGTAGTGTCTTATGAGTCGAGAGCAGACGCGTATACACCGTAGGCACGACGGTGAAGAACGTAATCTTGACGCGACACAAGTTCTTGTACTTCTCTTCGTTGACCGGCTCAGTGATAACGGCGGGGGCAGTAGGCTTCTGAGGCTCGGGTTGCTTGACAAAGGTGGTCGCTTCTACGACCGGAGTATTACGGCCGCTTGTCGACGTGATGGGTGTATCGAAACCATTGGCTGATAGAGCTGGCGAGGGAGCGACACCATTGGTCTGCTGCGATATAACATGATTAAGGCCGTTTGTCAATGCAGCTGGTTGGCTAGGCTGACTGATCTTCGCGGCAAGGTTGCTAACCTCAGCCGCTAGATGGTCAATGACTGCTGCTAGACGGCTGATTTCTGAAGAAACAGGATTGCCGAATCCGTTCAGTTCTAGGGCTGGAGTGGTAGTGCCATTTGTTTCCGTAATGGGGGTGATATTGCCGTTCGCCTCGCTAACTGCTGGGTGAAATCCATTCGTCTTCACCGGTTGGGGGATGCCATTAGGTAGGCTACTGGGTTTGACAAAGCCGTTTGCCTTGACGAACTGGGGGACGCTATTCGTAATACCATTTTCCTTCACGACTTCTTTCGCAGCTTCCTTAACCGCGTGAGCCACACCATTCGGCTTGGCAATAGCAGCAGCAACTTGAGGCGAATTCACGAACGGTGTTGCGAAACGACGCCAAACTGTGTCAGCGTTGAAAGGGAAGAGGAACTCGATGCTGCTGCCGGCGAAGAGTGGCGTGAGCAATGCGTTGACGGTACCGTGGATGTGGTGGAGAGGGAGCACATGTAGTAGTCGGTCCGACGGTGTATATTTCCACGCCTCAATCAAGGCGCGGGCCTGAGCAGTGAGCGCAGTCCCTGGAAGCAGTACTCCTTTTGGTCGATTAGTTGTGCCGGATGTGTATAGCATCATTCCAGCGCCCTCTGCATCGTCATCGTCATCCTCCGTGAGTGTAACCGACTCGAACCTTTCGGAGATTGCGCCAAGGTGCTTCGGTAACTCGACGGGAGTTGGTGATGGCGCGACATCGAGTTCCTTACTTGGCGTGGTGAGGACTTCATTGACCTTCGCGGCGTACTTCGGCGAGTGTAGCAAAAGGATAGCCTGCGACTGGGACAGGATATATTGCAGTTCGGGTGCCGGGAATGGTGGAGACAGTGGTAGAGCAATGGCATGCGCCGCTAGGATAGCGAGGTATGTGACTAAATGATACGAGTCAGTAACAAGCCCTATATGAAGTTCAAGCAGTTATGGTGGCTGAATAGCTCATACCAACATAGTCGTAGCTATTCTCTATAAGAAAGGCAACCCGCTCGCCTCGGATGTCCGACTTGCCGGCGGCATCGAGTATTCGGTCGCGCGCGCGACTCACGTCCGGGAGTAGTTCGCCATACTTGAACGTCCGGCGGGACAGGCAGTGGACGATGGCGGTGGACTGCGGATTATGGCTAGCGATGGCTTCGAATATAGGTAGCTTAGGGAGAGTTAGAGTGGAAGCCATCCTGACATGCGTGGTGTATTTGCTGAAGAGGGGAGATGAGCGATTTGACAAGGGACACGAGGGACGTGGGACGAAAGTAGGGGTATATATAGACGTAGTACCAGATGCAATAAAACAAGGACTCAAAGAATGCGTGGCTGAAATAGACTTAAACAGCTGAGATGACGATGGAGCATTAACAACCAAACGAAGCCCAGTACAACTCAATCGCATCACGGGGGTGTAAGGAGGGGAGTTATAAGGGAATAAGTACTTTCACAGCCGCCTCTCTATCCTCTCGGGCATAATACCACCCCCATGCAAACCCCTCTGAATAGGCAGGAGGATGAGCCGGAGGATGGATTGGGGGAATACGGCAGTGTGTATGGGTATTTGAAATACCAAGAACTCGCAAGCAGGGGTAGATAGATGGGATAGATGGGATAGATAGGACAGATCCTGTAAGTCGGCTCAGTTAAATCCGTGATAGGTACTTGAAGTCGTCAGATGGTGGCATGGAATTTTGGTATATTCGTATTGTACCGGTCCAGCAATAACTGTGCATGATAACCCTTCTAGACTCTTCGGGCATGATAGACTCGAATATGTCCGAGATCCCCAGTGATAAAACCAAGCAAGCCTGGCCATAATAGCAGACCAAGAATAAAAGCTTACAGAAAGTGGAACATTGGAATTGTTTGTTGAGAATCTCGGGGTCGCTTTTTTTGCCGTAAATGTTTTTCATTGGCCAATTAATTCCAGCGACTCTTAGCTCTTGCCGGTCCGCATCGGCCGGCTGAAAATATCCAGGTAAGTCTCACCCCACCGTTTAAGTTCAGGTATGTACTTCGTACTCAGGTACATACCTATATGCATGAACCTCGATGAGTTAAACCAGGTACGTACCTGCTTAATGCAGATATCTTCCATCTTTTATCATTCGTCAGTCCATAACCCTCACTAACACCCTACCTATCCGTTTTAGTCAACACCATATCTGATCGGGAATTTAAAAGGTTCGATCCTTGGCCTTCGAAGGGAGAAAACCAGGCCAGAGGATAAGAAGGGGTAACCTTACATCTCAACCCTACATCTTACATACATACATGTTGCAGCGACACGTGCGAGCCTGGACCGGCAGGGTAACCAGACAGCTTTCCATTATGGCATCATCCGGGGCGTCGAATACGCCGGTGGAGGACACCATTCGGGCAAAGGTAAATGCACACTCAGCTTCGAGGCCCCGAATGAGTATAATATAGTAAGCTGTCGTACTAATCTGAACTTGCGCTGGCCCCCCCTCGCACTTAGATCACCGAAGCCCTTAAACCTTCCAGACTGGAGATCTTTAACGACTCTGCCAACCATTCTCACCACAAGGCTATGGTGGGTAACACTTCCAAGGAGACGCATTTCAGACTAGTCATTACCTCCGATGCCTTCAAGTCTAAGATGCAGCCGGCCCGCCATCGCATTATTTACCAGCTTCTAGACGACGAGATGGCTCGGGAAGGCGGCATTCACGCGCTACAGCTGCGCACTATGACCCCTGAGGAGGAGCAGAAGTGGCAGGAGAAACAGCAGCAGTAGGGCGCTACTAGTATTGCTGAGTGTAGCTGAGGCTAGAATTTGAGGCGTGGAGATGATTGAGATGTACGATACAGGTGTACATACAAGAGGGTTTCTCCAGCTTAACTCACTACCTAAATCACAATATGTACAGCTACTCAATACATGACGATTAATGATTTCGCGAAGAAAATGTTTTTTTTTTGATAACTGAGGTAATAAACACAAGATAGAATTAACCTGGCTGATGAGTTCTACAACTTCACAATTTACATATGCTTTACATCTGATTCTCCTATTTTATTTCTCAGCACTTCTCACCATTGCAGGCGAAACAATATCTATACCAAAATAATCGCGGAAGCCGCAGTGTTAACATTCACATGTGAGAGGTACCTAGGTAGACATAGATTTACTATTAAGACCTATCTCATGGTACCCGACATTCTAGTTTACCTCGTGACGAATATACCTTACTATATTCCATAGTCAGGAATTGGAGTCGACTATTGTCGACTATTGTCGAATATGTAGTTGGTAGTAGTAATATTATGGCAAGGTAGTACCTACACACTGAGTGTCTCGCGTAAAATTCTCTAAAGGATATGTAATACATGTCTTCCAGACACGTAAATAATCGCAAATCAGGGTATCTCAAGTTCGCGATATACGCACAAGTACCCCTGAAACTCCGTAATTTAACAAACCGTAGAACATGTCAGCTTTTCCCGGTTTACACGGTTTACAAATGTTGTACAACTTTTGTACGCCGATTTCTATTCTCTCTGGGCAGACGTCGGAGTATTGCTTACAGGCGCCGAGCTCGCAATACTGTCCTTTTCCCACTTATGCCGCCTCTTTAAGAACTTTTTGAACGATTCGCTCCTCTTCTTCGGGTCGTTGGCGTATTTCCTCTTTCTCTCCGCTGTAGAGCTAGGCGCGGGAGAACCTCGAGCTGGACTTTTGGGGACTTCGGGCTTCGCGGCGGCTGTATTGCTCCCGGAGTCGAGTCCAGCTAGGGAGTTGACTGATACCCTTTTAGGCGGGGAAAAATTGAGCTCATCGCTTGATTTCCTCTTGTGACGAGATGCTTCGGAGAAGGATCGCGTAAGACCCTTAGTTTTAGTTGGCCTTGGCCCGATCTCTCCCATCGATTGGTTGACTGGGATGATTTTTTTGTGGTTTGGCTTCGGTGGTGTGGATGTAGCCGCTGAGGGGACATTATTAGATATATTTTTAGCCATCTCTACTGCTGGAATATCTTGACCTTCTCCGCTAAGCATGGCGTCTACCGCAACAGCAAATTTTGGCGAGGAGATGTGACCTTTCGCCAGAAGAGTAGCATCTGGAGTGCTCGTTAGGCCTTGAGACTGTCCTGATGATAGGCCTAGGAGGCCCCGAGCTGAGCTAAGCTCATCTGGATAAGAATTAAGAGTTGACTCGAGATTTTGTTTTGTGACAATTCGCGATGTAAATACCGGATCGTCGTCAATCTGGTTATACCAGTCAATGGCATTCAACGCCTTCACGGGAGGCTCTGCATCGTCGCATTCCTGAACATACGGCAGATAACCTTCATGCCACGCTCGAATAAAATCATCGTACAATGACGTTCGTATCCTTCGCTGTTGGAGCTGGATGTACATGCAAGCAGTCACAAAGTCATTGATGCTTCCATTGTAGTTTGGGTACGTTATAGTGTAACGGATAAATGGTGTTTGCGATACCGAATGCGGTTGACTAATGATTGGTGATGCAATTCGAGGAATAGATAGAACAGGTGGTGAAGATCTGAGTTGCGGCGTTGGAGGGTTGTATTCAGGTGAAGGTGGTTGAGTTTGTGGAGAATCCGGGGCTTCGATACTATCGTGACTAATATGAGGATCCCCGGATGGAGAATTAGGCCTGTTAACTTGCCAAGCAGGCGAACTCCTCCGTGGAACCGCATCCGGGACAGTAGATGGTATAATCGAAGATGGTGGATTGCCCGCTAATTCGGAACTCTGTGCATTGGGAAATGATGTAACAGTATGCTCTAATCTTGCCACGCCTAGGCTGGGATGAGCTGATACTGGCCTAATCTTTTGCGGGCGATAAAATTCAGGGGCTTCTTTATATATCCGTTGTTTCGGCTTTGCTTTCGATAGTGTAGACGATTGCTCCGACTGCTCATAGGTACAGGGTACCACTTGAGCGGAAGGGGGTGTTGTGCTCATATGCGCATCTGATTTTCCGAAAGAAAGAATATTGTCGTTAATGCCAGTCGGCACCTCAACCTCAAGAGGTTCTTCTTGCTCTTGGCTGCTTTGTGGGAAGGGAGGAAGGGCTTGTTGTTCAGATAGAGTAGGTTTCGTAGGCTGAGGGGGAGAGATAGATGGTACTTGCGTAATAAATGGCTGCTGAGGGTTTTCATCACTCGTTCTTTCGGGTATAAATCTGTGATGGTAAGGGCTTGATGACCATGGTGTGGTTTGACCCCCCTCATTATCGCTTTCAGAGTCGGGTTCAGACTGAACAAGTTGAGAATGCTTTTCATCCTGATCAATTATATCGGCCTGTGCCTCAGCTGATGAAATGACATCGTCTGACTGAGTTGGCTGTAATTGCCGAGAGTAATACTCCTTTAGATCCTGTAGTACTTCGGGAGGTACGTTTAAAAAAGGCTTAGAACATCTGCTGAGAAATTGTGCCCAGGAATTAGGGAGCGCCAAAAGTTTCTGTTGGTCGCTCCCAATTTTGACAAGACACCGATGAATCTTCGTTTCCCCAAGGAGATTTGGCGGAGGTCTAAGCCCGGGGACTAGGTTGTTAGGCTGCTTTGCCATCTTGAACTGATGGCTTCAATAGTACTCATAATACTAATGAAGTAAGGCCGGAATATATTCGACAAGGTATTGTTGTATCTCCTATGTTGGTTTAGCACCCGTTTTTATGACTAAATTAACGGAGTTTACGTATTGAGTGGTAATGAGTTGGAAGATGAATCGCTTAACGCGTTTGACGCGTGTAAGAATTAGACAGTGGAGACTGAGATATAAAACAAGATGCGAATTCACGTGCCAATGAGTCAGCTGGAGTTGCGGGGTCTTTAAGTCTTTCGAGCTCGGGTTGTACAAACTTTCCCAATGAATGTGTCGCCATGCATGAAGTACCTCTGAAGTAGTCGACTACATGTACATGAGGTACCTACCTCATATATAAAACGAACTATGGGGATACGTCAGACAGCTTGTCGCTGCATCAAATGCTAAAGAGTGGGACTGCAGCTGGATAAAGCTTCCCCATGCCCGCCTCTTGCATCACTCTTTCTTATCTACCAGTCTCGGTCCTTTGCAGTTACCAAGAACCTTACTTCGTTGTAAGAAGTAGCTTTGTCTTTTCTTTTTATGGCAGCCGTCGCCATGCATTCCTAGTATATCGCTTATTAATATTAATCTGTGTACCTAAGGTTAGGTAGCTTTCGCTAAGGCCTCTTCTGTTCGTGTTGCTTATGCTTCTCAGATATCTAAATGCACGGGCTTATCGAGACACCCCGAACCAACTTGCGAGGGAACCTTTCTTCTTCTACACCTACAAAAGCTGTAAATAGAAGCGCATATTGACAGGAACCCTCGAAGCTGTCAAGGTAAATCAAGAGTGTATAAGCTATCTTCCTCGGTACTGATTGGTGTTGGCTTTAGCACCTTGACCAGCTTGACTACATCGCTCATGTCTCAAATCGATCGCCACCATGTCTGATAAAAAACCACCCTCAATTCCACTCTCTCCCTCAACAATATCCTCTTCTGCTCCTAAATCTCGCGAGGAATCGATCGCCTCGGCATCTCTTACCTCTCCTCAAATCGACAAAGACCAACTTGCCCAGGCTCTTGACAAAATACATATCTCCGCTAAGGAAAAAGATGTCCTAACTACCTTTAACGACTTTGCGCCACCGCCAGAATCTATAGCTACTACAGAAAGCAAAGGAATCGGGAGCGACCTTGTGCAAAATGGCTTGAGTGGACTCTATTCTCGATTTAAAGAGGCTGTTGGGGTTAGTGGGAAGGACAAATTAGTGGTAAATACGGGTACCAAAGACAATTCCGAATCGATCGATGGGGATACTGCATCGAAGAAGAGCTCGAGTACTACCACCACAGGCCCCAAGCCTTCTACCTCTTTACTGAGGGCTGATACGGGCACTGCAAGTTTAACTTTCAATTCATCCCAGTCTGAGCCGATGACTTCTACTATTGCTTCTTCAAGTACGGCTCCGACTAGCGAAAGCCAATCCCAGCAACCCCAGTCGACGATGGCTTCATCCGTTACTAATCTCACTGGGGTTACGACTTCAAAATCTGTCTCATCAAGTCGTCAAAGTATAACGAATATGACAAAAGCGACAGCCGCCGTAGCGCCCGTACATGTTAGCGCTTTCAAAGACGGATCTCGGGGTACGTCGGCCAAGACTGAAGATGGCGCAAGTAAAGGAGGCGGGATAAGGAGTATTAGCAAGTCAAACGATGGGCAACACATTCCGATTCCGGAGTTATCGTCGATCTACGATGCACCCGGAAATAAGCGTGCCTCTAATCTCGACAAGATTGCAATTCCTAGTCATTCGAGGCGAGAGGATGGATTAATTGTAGATGGGCATACCGATTCTCCTACTAGTCCTATAAAGAGATCTAATACTGTGCCACCCATTTCTACAGCTCCTAATTCGACTTCGCCGGACTCTTACATACAACCTCAGCCTACTTTGCTTTCCGCTAAAGATGCTATCAGAAGACCCGCTCTAATTGACCGGATCAGCTATTCTAGAACTTCTGGCGATCTTTCTAGGTCCTCTTCCTTATCTAGAGGTACAACGGAACATAGCCCCATCAACACATCTGCTCATAACAGTGTTCATCATGAGTCATTTGCACAAATTCCCTCAACTGAACGGATACGATCCGGCGAGTACAGGATTCCAGGCACGACTACTGATGAGGGCGCCCCGGAAATGGTCAACGCGAAATTAGCTTCCATGCGAAAACAAGTCTTAAGTAAAGACTTCTGGATGGCCGATGAGACTTGCAAGGAATGCTTCCTATGCGGTGCTCCATTTACTGCTTTCCGCCGCAAACATCATTGTCGAACGTGCGGCTGCATTTTTGATAGCGGATGTACGTCTATAATTTCTGGCCAGCGGTTTGGGGTTCAGGGGACACTCCGTGTATGTAAGCCTTGTCTAGGTATCATCCTCCA